CCTATCACAACCTTCCATGGCAGGTAATGGTTCTTAAGTAAGTAATGGTGCTTAACAAGGGATTAATTACAGCAGTGCTTGGGCTTCTGGTCGTCTTAGCCATCCAAGATTTCAGTGTGAAATCAGGAAGTGTTTGATTTCCTCTCTTGGTTTTATATAGCCTTGAAAGGAGGTGATGTAAGAGCATCGTGAGCAAGGAAAGGGTGGAAGGGATCGCTCCCAACATCTCCTCCAGGCAAACGTGACCAGAGCTCCTCTCCCACCAGCTCAGGGACAGAGCAGGAACTGGTTTGGCATCTCCTCCTTCCTCAGGGTGCAGCTGGGCAGGATCCCGGCGGAGTTAGGCTTGGAATTCCGGCTCCAAAGCTTCTGGCTCCCTCTTGTGCTCCCCGAGCTCATGGCAGGAGAGATGCGACGGGACGGTCTGGCTGGGAGGATCTGCTCATCTCCTCGTGTCCAGCCCGAGAACAGGTCCATCAGCAGCTGTCAGTCAGGATATGGACCAGCTCCGTATTGTGGTGCCCTTGGGCTTGCTAGGAAACCCCACGCTGTTCCCAGAGCATGGACAGGGAATGTGTGCAGCTCCGTGTGCAGTGCACACAGCCTGCCTGGGCAGGGATGAGCTGAGACTGTCAGCCACAGCTTCTGCCTGGGAGAAAATCCACCTCCTCCTCTGTGACCCAGTGCAAGTGACAGCTCTGCCACCTGTACATACCACACCTGGACTAGAGTTCCTCCTTCACTCTGCCAGGGATTTAAGGAGTATCAAACCATCTCACCCATACAAATACAATAGAACTTTGTTATCCCACTATTTCATCCAGGGTTTTTTGTCTTTGGTACTCTGTGTAGCAGGTGCTGATCCACAATGGACAGGGAAAATCCACCTGAAAACTGGCTTTAATACATCACCCCAACAGCAGTGACTGCTGCCTGGGAAGTTGTATTTCTCCTTAACCAAGCTCCTTTTAGGAGACTTCTTCAAAGGTCACTATGGGTGTCAGGAGACAAAGCAAAGCTGTGTTAGGCAAAGCAGAAAACAGGATTTGTTTTCCAACAGATGTTCCACAACTCTATAACTAAGCAAAAAGTAAGTGCAGCCAGACCAAGCACTGTCAAATCTGAATTGTTGTGCAGTTTTGGCTTGATTTTCTGGTGGTTAAATTTGCTTTTAAAATCATGATTAAAATTAATGATGAATTATTTCTTATCCTCTTAGCCAAGGTTATGTTCAGGCAGCTGCTGCAGCAATCAGGGCACACTCCCATCCTCTCATCGTAGGTGAAGCCTCTATGTGTTTTCTCTATGCTCTCAGTTCAAAAGAGGGATGGAAAAGGTCCTTCCCTTGGTAACTGCAGCAGATTGAAGGGTATAAACCCAAAGGGCAAGAAAAGGGTTCTCTGGGATGAAGCTGGCAAGTAGCTAAGCCTCCTGTGAACACCAGCCAAAAGGGTTCTCTGGGATGAAGCTGGCAAGAAGCTAAGCATCCTGTGAACACCAGCCACGCTGCACAGGGGGAAGAAGCCACCACAGAAGTGTTGTGCAATGGGGAAGGCATTTACTTCCCTGGCCTTGCTCTCCAGCTGCTTTTCTCTTGCACAAGATGTGCAACAAAACAGGAACGTGTGTTTGTTTCTGGGAGCCTCCTGAGAGCTGAGAGGAGCCAGAGCCTCAGCTCCTCCGGATACCAACTGCTAAACCCATCTCCTCTCTCCTGGTGGGAGGACGTCCCCATCTGACCCTGGGGCTGCAGGTACTGACTCACTGTCCACCCTCAGCTCACCCTCAGCTGAGAGCTCTTTTCCACTCTCATCTGGGGTGGATGTTTCTGAGCCTCCAGTGTGGGTGGATGGAAGATACAACCACGAGTGCTGTCTCATAATGAGTGATTTGTTTTTAATGCTATTTATTTTTCTTGCACGTTGCTTTGTGAGAGGTTTAAAATTGGCTCCCAAAAGGAGCAAGGACATCTCCCTTCAGCAAATATCCCCCCTGGGATGGCACATCCTTTGTGCTCCTGTAACAAATGCACAGAGTGTCCGTGCAGTTCCAAGGGAGGTTTGGTGACAACAAACCTGCGGGAAAGGCTTTCTTATTTTTTTCCCAATGGAACAACCTCCTTCCTGCAGGAATGGCATCCATCTCCTCCACTGCATAATGAGATGCACAGGTACAATGGGGAGCAAAGGAGGCTTTGTCCTCCCCTCCCTGCTTCCAGAGCAGCCCTTTGTGTCAGGGACGG